TCCATTTTTCTCCCTGTCTGATTCCCGCAGCAGAATACAAGCCAGACAAAGAGAGATGGCTCGCTGGCAGAGAAAAGGCTAATTCACTAAAGGTCAATTGCATTACCACAGGGAAAACAACCACTGCAGTGCTTTGATACACAACCCAGAGAGACCATCCCCTAGAATTTATTGCACTTAGCGTCATGCAAACACAGAAATGCTCCCAATAAGTCTTTTTTATGTAGAGGTATATTGTTATGGGAGCTATGATTACATTCTATGATGGCTAACTGGAGATAGGCTGGTAGAACGGCAGAGAATATTCAGCGAGCCAAGCCTGAACCTGCCTGACATCACAGGCTGCCTAAACACACATACTAATAATACACACTCAATGAAAAAAATAATAAACCTTGTGCATTTGCTCATTATTGTCCCAGTCAGTCACATACTCAAACAGGTGCTTAATGTGTTTAGCAGCAGATTATACCAAGAACACATTCATTCTTTATTGGTTAAATGGGATATATAATGTAAATATACAGAGTGTGCTGAGAAATCATGATAGGTGTCGTTGGACACAATTGCCGGCAATTGCCAATGGAAACAATTGACAATTGCATATATATATATATATATATATATATATATATATATATTCATGGATATGAGGACATTAGATAATTTGAGTATGCAAACCGCACCTTCTGTCTTTTACTTGAAAGTTTTGAAAAATTGCTTATGATATGTAAAGCGGTAGTTCCCACCAAAATGAAAATTGCCATCATTTACTTAACATGTCGTCCCAAACCTTCTCATTATCGATAGATAGATAGGTATGCACTATACATACATATTTATATGTATATATAATTATTAATTTTAATTATATTTTGCATTTGATTATGTATTGTTAAATTTTAGTGGTATTTTCAGATTTATTTTGCATTTTGGTTCAGTTTAATATTATTAGTGTAATAGCTGACAACTTTCAGGAAAACACTTTTTCTGTGCCCTTAAAGGGTTTACATAAACAGCTTTAATTAAGCCTTCCATACACAATAGATTCATCACAATATGTTACTCTAGTATGTTTTTTTTACATTTTCCATGAAGAGCAGTGTGCTGCTGAGATTCAGCAGTTGTGCCCTTCCCCTGGGCACCGGGCGCATGTTTCGCTGTCGTCTCCTGTGCCACACAAAGCTGTCGCAATTAGCCACGAAGCTGTGTGCCTATTGTCATCTCTGCTGATATCAGCTGCTGATGTAAGCAAGGACACTGCCTCAGGTGACCCACACTGAAACAAAGGGCCAGGCACAGGGGGGGAAGGCCATTGCTCATCAGCACCACTTATTGACGGACTTCTGCCTGAACCAGTAATGGGCTTAGCAGGCTTCCAGAGGCCCTCTGATGATTGAGAGTTGGAGGACAGCTTGAAGATTCTAATACTCATTTTGGATCAGATCCCCCATTTTTTTCTGTCCCTGGATAGTAGTAAATAACGAGTACAGCTCCCTTACGTCCCTCTTGCGTTCTCTGTCTCCTCCCTTCTCAGCGAGAACACGCTCCAAACCATCTGCCTGATGGGAATCGCAGCATGCAAGGAGTGATGGAAACCCTCCACTTCCCTCTTAATGTCAAATAATAACCTGAAGATATTATTGCTCATTTTGATTGTTTTATTTGTAGGCCCATGCTTCATCTCGGGACTCTCTCCTTGAACTGTTCGCCTCAAGTACTCAGTGCCCACTTTCAGAGGAGCTGACAGTTAATGTTTGATAATGTTTCAAACATGTCCGCCAAACGGCAAGTGGCTGGAGACTTTTACAAAGGCTTGCTGTGCAGCAGTAAGTGCAGTGTTATTTAAGTCTTTCATTTTTCTGATGGTGGAAGCCCTTTTGAAGGGCCTAATGGCAGCGGTACGCTGAGAAGTTCCTTCAGCGATTGTTAAAGGCCTTGCTGTGCTTTTGTGCCAGATGAACGCTTTTAATGGTGGAGAGTTTTTTTATTTATTTTGAGACCTAAAAAGCGGTCTAACACTAACACAGTGCACTGATATGGGTCCCTGACCACCTGAAGGTTCTTTACATAAAGGCCTAACAGCAGGGATTGCAAGAAAAGCCTTCTCTCTCTAGTTCTTGGCTACATGTTAGCTTTTCTCTGAACCTCCTCAAAATAAATGGAGCAAATTTAAAAATAGAAAAATTGGCTTATTTTTAAAATCATGAGTTGGAGCTTGAATAGAATTGGCCAGGTGTGTTCATGTACATGAATGTTAACCGTTTCAAATGTGTCTTTTCTCTTTACAATTGATTGATATAATACACTGATATAACAAGATATGAATTGAATAAATAATAATTATATATAGTGTGTATATACTGTATACAGTGTGTATAAATATAGTTGTGTGTGTGTGCGTTAAATTGATTAATTGATTAGACAGCACTAAATATTAAGAATAATGATGACGATGATAATAGTCATCATCATCATTGTAACAAGTTTAATTCTACATTTGGTTTATTTGTTGATAGTTTTAGCAATGGTTTTGATTTTTATACAGTTTTTAACTGAAACTTTAGAATTTAGCTTAGTTGGTGTTAATTTCAGCAATTGTTTTCATTTTATAGATAATGCTAAATGACTTACTAATATACTGTAAATACTAATTGTTTCACTCATAATCACTTTTCCGTTAACTAAGAAGCATTTGCTTTGTTTCTAATTTGCAGTTGTCTCAGTTTTTAGTCAAGAAATATGGCAGATGAAAATGCTTTGCAATGACACCATTCATTCCAGCTTACGTAAGAATAATAACCAGGAAATGTTTACCACTCTACGAGCACTTTTTACAAAAAATCACAGAATTCTCCAGTTCATTCCTATAGGACATTCTGTAAAACTTCTCTGAGTTAGCAACAGTAACCAAGAGGGGTGGATCTTAGTGACGGGTCAATTCTGGTCCACTACCCTCACCTACATTGATACATCTCATCTTCAAAACCAAAGGTCACTATTTCAAACACTGGAAAGGGCCACTTCAAAAAGTTCAAGGCAACTTCCCCTGTCAAAAGTGAACTGCAAGTCGCATTGGATAAAAATCGTTTTCTAAATAGTTGACCAGTAAAAACTAAAATGTTAATTTAGCAGTAATTCATATTTTAATCTGAGAACCTCTCCATCTGAAAACACCTAGATTCTTTGTAGTGCTCTTGATCTCCACCTTCTGATCCAGCAAACGCGCCTCACTCATCTACCTTTGCAATGGAATTGCTTGCTATTCTGGGCACCCTTTGCACCACTTCTTATCCATCAATCTCTGATAAATATTGAGGAATACTCAAATGAACCTGAATCCTCAAAGCCAACAACTGGATTAGGACTAGATCCTATCTAATCGAGCCGAGAAACACCATGTTATGCTTTAAGCACAAAGTTTGTGTTGCCATAACAGTGATTGACATCTCTAATGTTTCTTTCCATAACGAGCAGCTCTGCATCACGGCTCTCCTGGTGTGTTTGAAGTGCTCTCTGCCCTAAGGTAATGCACCAGGATAAGGGCTCACATTCCTCATGTTATGCGCTCGCTTCCATATTTCAGTCAAGGCATTTCATCAGCTCAAAGCAGAAAGGCAGGCTGAATTCCTCTGTTATATCAGAGGACTTACCTGGAGCAGTAATGCAGGTTTGCACGGAGTTATCAACATTTCAAAAAGTTTGCGGTCTTCTGGTGCGATTTAATGACTAATTACATAATATAGTTGTATAGGCGTTCAATTGGCATTCATTTCTTATTCTGCATCATATTCATTTGTCATAAATAATAGTGATTGTGGCAGTCTATGTGATTTGAATTTTTGATTCAACAACTGGGTCTGCAGGAAAGGCAAGCATATGAAAAGGTCATTTTATGTAGTTATTATTTATTGAGAGTTCTGCGTTCCTGCTATATTGATTTAGGGTGCTGCAGTGATTGTCTGCACCATTTGAAAATGATCTACGTTAACAATGCAGCTCACACCACTGATTCAAGTGTGTTCAGTTTAGACATTTTTGAGAGCTGATATTTCGACACATATCAGATCTCCCGCAGCAGAATCCTATTTCCTTTCTTCAATGCCAAAAATTATGCTGTTATTGCTAATCATCTGTTATTGCTATCGCTTCTTAATCACTAATAGGCTAAGCTGTTCACTAACTGAAATCAAACAGTAAGGGAAATTTGAAAAATATGACCAGTTAGATTTGGTAATATAATGTTATATGTTAAAAGACATTAAAGGGATAGTTACCCAAAAATGTTGCAATTTATTAGTTTGATTATAAATGGTACACTATATATTTTTTTATCATGAAAATATGGTACTTAAAGGGGAAAATATGATAAAATATTGAAGCTATCTTTTTACTTTGGAATGTGTCAGTATTTTTTTATTTTTTTTGTCCGTACAGTGGTGCTCACTGGGGTCCATAGTTTTTGCCCCATTGATTTTCATTGTAAGGACAAAAGCATTCTTTAAAATATCTTAAGTGTGTGTTTTGCATAATAAAGGAAGTCGTACGAGTTGACATGAACAGGAATGACATGAGGGTGAATACATTTTCAATTATGGGTGAACTATCCATTTAATTACCATACTTTTGGGATTAAAAATATATACCATTTCTAATCAGGCACCGAATAGAGTAGCCATAGAAATTTGCTAACGCAATGACTATGTTCAGGAAGGTGGATTGGATTCTGTCTGATGCTTTTTGTACCAAAGTACCACTACTTTTGACACCCCTAGTTTTAGCTGAGTGTAAATGCCCTATTTGTTTTAATGTGCAAAACATTTGATTTTGCCCATTCTCTTGTGAGCTTGTTTCAAAGTGTTGGTCATTGTTGTAATTGTGTGTAAATGCTTGCTTATCAGTTCCATTTGTTTTTTCCCCCATTTCTCCTTTTTATGCATGCTGTTCCTCCTGTTTCCCTCCTCCTTCCTCCACCGCACCTCCTCTCCTCGTGTGCTCAGACGCTGCGCCCAGCACTGAAGCCGCAGCTCACGGTTGGTACCTCTCCCTCCTTCTTCTGCCAGCACAGCATGGCATTCTCTGCATGCCAGCTGAGTACAGTACAGCACGTAACGGAGACATGCACGGGATTTGGGAATGAATCTAATGTGGATTTGCTGTATGTGTCTGTCTGTCTGTCCATCCGTATGTCACATCCTTTATCCCCATTGTCATTCGCCCGTGAAGACCCACCTGTCCGCCACGGCGCTCCTCTAGGAGTTTTAATCAGAGCATTCGCGGTGTGATTCCTGGCCACGTCACACATCCATCCCTCCTGCATGAGCCCTTCTCGAGTCCTTGTTGCCATTTTTGACTTCTCACCTTTTTGAGTCCTCACAGACGCTCGTAATCCACCCGCAATAATTTTTCATGAATTTAAATGACGTTTAAATGGCTGTTTTTGATTTCTGAGAAATGAACGGGAGAGCCTTTTCTCTACATGACGCAGATGGCATTGTACTCCACCTTGGTGCGCCAGCTCCGCACACAAATCACAGAACGGGGACCATTTGCATAGCTCACGGGCTTTATTCTGTTTTACAATATACCACGAAAGCGCTTTCTCAATTCATTAAGCCCTTTATCCCCGCTCTCAGTTTGCAGTGGCAGATGCTTGTGTAAATGTGTTAGATTTAGTATAAAGGCTTTTCGTGATACTGTGTAATTATGTCACCTGTGCCTCGTGAAACACCCTCTAATGATTTAATTAGCCATCATGTTGTGTGTCGCACCGGATCACACCTCAAAATCGACACTTTTCTGTACCCCCAGCCAACTCGCGAATGGATCGAGTTGGGGTGTCGCCGTTTGTTTACATCTATCTGCAACTTTCCATATATAAAAGGTTAAAGCAAATACAAGCGGCAGAACATCTAAAGGTTAGGGCTATTCTTTTGCATGTGCATAATTTGGACGTGCCTACAGAACGTGGTCAGCCTTGACTGTGTAGCAGAGCTATAATAGAGCTTTTGTACAGTTCACTGCATTTCTAAATACCATGTCACAAGGCCAGTGTTAACCTTGTACAGTTATATCAGCCTGGCAGTGATGTATAACTGAATCACTGTACGCTTTCCAATAATCCAAAGCGGTTTTTGATCCTACAAAAGGTAAGAGAACACAAGGTGAACCCAGGGGGCTTTGTCTCATCAAACAAATTGGTTTTAAATGTAGTGCTTCTTATCTTTGTTTTGTCTAGGTATGACATAGAGCTTTTTTAGCTTTTATGTTGTTGCGGTACAGTGAAAAGGGTTAGTCATTTTAACGCTTCCTGTCCGCTCACTCATTTTCGAAATGGACAGGAAATGCCTTGTTTGTAAAATGCCAAGCATGCTCCTTCATTCTTTAATCCGACTGTGGAATTGATGTCCTGACCTGTTGCAAATATGAGTTTCTGCTAATGTTAAAATGCTTGTTTGTATTGCAAACAGCATTTCGCACCCTTGTCATATAAAACAAGAATTGCAGAAGAATCAAGTCACATTGTTTCCAGAATAAAGACATCTAGTCTAGTCTGACGCAGAGAACAGCTCATGATAGCAGAGCGAAGCATCTATGTTCCTCCTCAGAAGATCCTCTCATTTGCATCTTGTCACACCTTGTGTGTTTTATTTGGTTCACTTTTGTAGCTGATGCACATACTCTGTTTACCATCTTATTTTCCTGGGTGTGCTACACTCACTGTTCAGGAGATTTCTCTTCTCTCTGATAACAGTCTTTTTTACCCTCTCTGGTGTAGCCTAGCAACAAGCTGTTCAAGCAATAAGTGGGGTTTTCAGCAGAGGTTGAGGTAGGAGGCTAACATAGTGGGCAAGATTCCATATAGAACAGAAAGCTACAGCAATACCACAGAAAACAGTCTTATTTGTGTATTTCTAATGCATTTATATTCCCCCTTTTATTATCTCTCAGTCTTTTTGTCTGTACACTATTATGAAAAATGATCAGTGGAATTTGACATAAGCTAATAATTTTGCAAAATATGTTTGAATATTATGGCTTACATTAAAGACAACATGAATCCAAAATGTATTCTGTTTACTTCCATAGCTGGAATTTCACAATTCCAAATGAATACAATTGATAACATCAAAAAACATCATTTTTCTTTGAAATGTGTCACAATATAGAAGTTACATGTGTCCTGGTCACACACTACTTCATGTTGTCTTTAACGGGACGTGGTGTGATTGAATATGAATTAGACTGCAGACTAGAAGAAACATGGTTGGCAGGGTCAGATAGATCAAATTCTTATCAGCGTGTCAGCAACCCTGTCAAACTCTTACTGTATCATCACACACTGGCACCCTCGGTATTAATCACACCTCATTTTACCTGACCCATTGCATGTACGGTCACGCACACTTCCGCCTGCCTCTCCTCAAGCTGATTTATTGCCATCATGTCTCTGTTTTCAAAGCAATATATGTAGATCCCCCTTGCATTCAGGATCTGCAGTGAATTCAGATAGTGAGATGCCCATTCAGTAGATCCTCCATCTGGCTCTCTCTTTCTCTTCTCCCTCTCTGTGTCGCTCCATCCAGGCGTACTCCTCATTCCTGTTCATTTCCAAAGAGGATGATTGAACACACTTCACTTCTTCTTGTCATTTCATCATCCTTTGTTTGGTGTGGCACCACACAACATGTTTAAGGCTGGGCTCGGTAAACATGACGATGGCATCTTTTGATTATGTGCTCTAAGTAACAATGCGACAAAGAGCCTGTAAGAAACCAGGTGTAAAATAACCGCTTTGTTTGCCCATGATTGCGACAAATGGAAAATCACTCCATTTTGGCCAACCAGTTTTGGAGGACTATTTGCTCGCAATTATAAAAGTAAAACTTTTCAATCCTCGTTCTCAATATGACTGAGTCTGCCTTTTCATAAAGCAGCGGGTCTTTTCAGTAGGGATGTAATAATGGCTTTCGGTTTTCTGTTGCTTTGGCCACACCTCTGTCACACTTTTCATAATGGCAGAAATGAATTAAATCTAATTTTTTTTGTCCTATGAATGCTAAAGAGAATGTCTTTTGTGAAACAAAGCCTCTAAAATAAATAGCAGGCTTTAGAAAAGGATGAATGAAAATCTGTGAGTGTCACACATGGTGCCAAAATTAAGCAAGGGCTTATTTAAGCCTATCTCTCCCTCGCTCCCTCACCGGTAAATCTAAGCCGCTGTTTGACATGAACTTAGCCACCTCTGATGTGAAGCTGTTTTATATGCCAATGTTAACTGCCTCTCCCTCATCCTCTCAAAGCAGTCGCCATGACGATTCCCCTGCCCGTTGTGGCATAGTAAAGCCTGTGTTACTTAATGTCTTGTTTTCAAACACTCTGATCTGAATTCCCTTCATGCATAAGAAAAGACAGCACACAAGAAAATATCTGAATCTGAGAGGATGTACATGGAAATGAGAATATGCATCTACCGATTGCCTTTGCAAATAATTCTCTTCAGTTCCTGTCCTCTAAATTGATTGGGCGAAAGGTTTTCTGATGAATGCACTAGAACTTTTCACTTCGTATCACTCTGCTCTTTCCTTTCTGTGATGTTGAGCAACAAGTAGTTGTTGATCCCTCTTCATTAGCGGATCAAAAATGGACTAATAGACTAAATACCCATATTTCTAAAATGCTATATAGTTCACCTAAAAATGAAAATTGTGTCATCATTTACTCATCCTCATCTCTTCCAATCATATGACTTTATTTCCCCGGTGAAACATAAAAGAAGATAGTTTGAAATAATATTTTTTTTCCACACAATGAAAGTCAATGGGGTCCAATGTTGTTTTTGACCCAATTAGCTTTCACTGTGTGGACACATTTAAGATCTTTTATGTTCTACTAAACAAAGTAAGTTTGGAACGACTTGAGGGTGAGAAAAAGATAACAGAATTTTTATTTTCGGGTGAACTATCATTTTAACATCTTTAACTTATGAATCATAGTCATGCTGATATTCAGTTTAGTTCTAAAATATTGTTGATATTTATACAAAATATTGTATTTAAACCTTCAGAGATTTATCAGACTGAGTGTCTGTTTTCATCCCCCTGTGCATCTTTGCCCTGCTTATACTCATTGACAGATGGTTATATGTAGTGATCATCTAAGGCCTGGTCTCCTTGCTCCATCTCCAAAGACAAGCATTTGCTCTTTCTTCGCTCATCTGTTCACAGAGCAAGAAAGGGCAGGGCCGTTAACAGCTCTGAAGCCGTAGCTTTAGTCGATGCCCTCCTCACTCTCTAATCCTTCAGTAGTCAAGGGGTGAACGGGATGGAAAGGACACACCTGCCAACATGCCTGTCAGCCTTAGCCCAGGAGGAGAAGATAATTGAGCAGATTCTGAACCGCAGGGAGCGCCGTAGCAGAATACAGTGGGATAATGACCACTTTGTTCCCAGCTGGACTGAAGCAGGTGAAGCAGAAGAGTTGGCGCCTTTAATGTCCCAGAATTGTCACATTTGGATGCCATCACGGCCAGGGCTTTCATCAATCAACAGGAACGAGTTCTTCTGCAGCTTCAAGGGTCGCCTCCTTTGCTGACTTTCTCTGAGCCTGCCTTTACTCCCTCTTTCTCTTATATCTTTCCTCTCGCAGCCACACTTGCTTGGTTTGAGCGAGTGATGTATGGCTGTCAGTGGGACTTTGCAGCGGTGTGTAGTGTTTCTGATGAGCAGGGTTTGGAGTAATGCTGGCGTGTGAATGGCTGAGGCAGGGCTTGGAGGTGCCTTCAGGACTGCCTGCAGGGGCCTCGCAGGTGACGCGCATATGCTGCAGTAATTAGACTGAGAGTTGCGCAGCATTAACAGAAGCGGAGGATTTGGGATAGCAAATGCACGCCTTTCTCCACTCGGCACTGTCCTCCGCTGATTTGTAAGTAGGAACATAGGGACAGCTCACATGGGCCGATCTCGATGGAAGAAATAACGTGGGTCTGAGGTGGCTTCGATTTCCCAGCAGACACAGACAGACAGAGTACTCT